TTGTCTTGCTGGCTTAGATCGGGAAATATTGACACTCGTTCATGAGCGTTCACCTACCGCGAACGGAACTCAGTTGTCCTGCTTTGACTTTGCCTTCGGCCTGATTTCTCGGGCCCTGAGAGTAGCTGTAGCAGCTAGCCGATCGAAATGTTGGTAAAAACAAGTGAGAAAAAGAGGGCAGTTTGTTCGCTGGATCGATTTCCTTACTCATTTGAACTTTCATCACCCATCTTCAGAAGCAGGGCAAGTCATGAATCGACTGAAGCCTGGGCCTCCGATTAGAAGTCAGGAATTCGGCTATATTGATCTGACAGAGCCCTGTGTAGCCATCTCCAAATTGGCATTACTAGCGTTTTATTAACTTGTACTTTCGTTACTTGCTGCTTGTATTGTTGCCACTTTTACCTTTGATAATGGACCGCTGTACATGTTTAAAATCTCAGACAAATACAGAAATTATTCTGGCCATCAAGCAGCCTCCTTCTCCTTCTCTTACTTATCAATCCGTCTGGACTGCGAACATTTATCGCAGTGGCTTAAGGGGAGACCCCTGCCACTACGATCTTCAGGCGTAGTTGCGTGCGGGAAGAGAAGAAATGGGACTTCAGGTGGGAGGAATAGTTTATTCTGTACAGAGCTAGTGGAGAATAGGTTGTTGGAGGCAGCTGACAGTCGGACGAGTGCAAAAACACCCGTGGGGGCCTGTGTCCGAAGTGTGAGGGCGTGGAGTCATCACGGCGTCTATATCACGGTCATGTGGGAACCAACCAGAGAAAGATGATTGGCCAGACCAGATTGAGCTAGGCAGGCACTGGTGCTTGCGCACATGCTAGTAGCCGCGAGAGGCTGAGCCTGCACGCGGAGTGGGGTCACTACCAGTGCCCCCTTCCCAGATGGAGGTTCAAGTGAAACATAACCGAATGGAGGAAGAATACTTAAAATGAATGAACAGAACAAGCACTGACGGTAGTGTTGTTGACAACGTGGGCAGCTGGAGCTGGCAGGAAGGAGGTACTTTGATAGGGCGGCCGGAGAAACCCGTGGTTGAGTTCTACGTCGACGGCAAATCGGTATGCCGTGTCAGTATTGAGTTGACAGTAGAAACAAAATCGGGTATTGGGAAGGAGGGTCAGGCGCTGGTACTCATAGTAGAACTGCCCTGTTGGACTGGGAAGGAACCATGAAGTGGGATTGATGGGCTGAGAGTGATTGATGACCTCCATATCGATTCACGACAGGATATAGGTGACTTAATTTTCCATATTGTGGTCACATCAGATGAGACAGGAAAATGCATTTGAACTTAAAGGTTGTAGGGTTCAGCTACATTTAAAAGTTGCGTTTGCAGATAACGCCGGGGTTACCAATTTTGCAGTAGTTTAAGTTAAGAGGGGAGAGCCTTGCTGCTGCGATCTTCAGACCCGGTTCCGTGTGGGGAATAGTTAATTCTGTACAGAATTAACGGAGAACAGGTTGGACAAATTAAGAAGCTGGACGAGTGCACGTCCGAAGTGTGCGAGAGCACGGAAGTCGCAACGCCCTCCCCAGCGAGATTTTGTGTGATTCAGTCTCAGGGAGATTACTGACAAGACCAGATTTGGGTCGGCAGACGCTGGTGCGTACGGCCACACATAGCCGAGTGACCTCAAAACAGGACACGCGGGGAGGTGCGCCAGACTTACACGAAGGCGTAGTGTCCGTGAATCCCCCCAAAAATGCCACGCGTGCATGGT